CTGGACCTGCCGGGGCGGCTCCCCAGCACCCGGTGCCGGGTGACACGTGAACCCTGGTTACCACCTGGCCTGAGAGCAGATGGCACGCCCGTTAGCCCTGGGAACAAGCCTGGAAGCCACACCAGCAGGCCTCTTGGAAAAGGTTTCGTGGTGTTGCCTTCTCAGATCAGGGCATTACGAATGAATGGTCGAGGAGGGCTTGTTAGGTAGTTTCTTGTAAGGGCTAGCTTTTGGGGAAACAGTCAAGAGTATCTCCGGAATGCTGCTGATTGGTATTAGATGTTTCACTTCTTTGGCTTCTTATTTAAAATAGGAACATAAGGAAAGATGGCTGTTTCAGGGTCCCCCCTCCCCGAGAAACTCATGTTTAGAACCGTTTTGGGTTTGCAGAAAAATGGAAAAGACACTGTAAAGAGTTCACACATCTAGTACCCAGTTTCAAACCATTTACATAAATACAGGGCATTTCTTAAAGTTACTATTTATTCAGGTTTTCATTTTACCTAATGCTTGTATTACTGTTCGAGGACGTCACTTTTGTTCATGTCTTCTAAGCTCTTGGTTGACAGTTTCTTGTAATGATCCCCATGTTTCCCATCAGTACTGGTATTTTGTAGGGTACCCTCAACTGGGATTTCGAATGGCCGTCTTCAACGCATGACTACTAGTCCCCCCCCCCCCCCCCCCCAGTGACTTTACTGTAAAACTAGCATTCTCATTATCCTTAGCCGAATTCAAAATGTCCAAGTCAAGTCCTTCACTTTTTGCTCCAGGCATCTGGTAAATACAACCTAAGTGGCCATCAGGCCATACCTTAGAAAAAAACCAGAAAGCATGTAAAATAAACAAACAACGGTAGCAAAAATATTTCTATGGCAAGTAACACTTTGAAGACTAGAGGCTCAGCCAATAAAGTGCTTGCCATGCAAGAAGGGTCTGAGTTTGATCCCTGGTACACATATTACAAAACTGGGTGTGGTGGCGCCTGTTTGTAATCCCAACATCAGGCAGACAGGGACTGATCCCTGGGGCTTGTGGGCTAAGCCAGTCTAGTCTAATCAGTGAGCATCAGATAAAGGAAGACCCTGTGTCCAAAACAAGATGGGGGGTTGGGGTAAAGGCATAATCGGCAAGTGCTTGCTCAGCAAGCATGAAGACCAAGCAGGGATTCCCAGCGCCCATTTAAAAAGCTGGGGGTGGGGTGGGCTGTGAGATGCTCATTGGCCAGTCAAGCTATCCTAGTTGATGAGTGACAGTCCTGTCTCAAAGGAATGAATCAATGGATAAGCAAATAAAATGAGGAGAGCTATTGAAAAAAGACATCCAATGGCTACCTCAGGTCTTCATACTGGCATTCTCTCTTGTAGAGGGAGAGAGAAAAGCATAGGGAAATATAAGGAGTAAAACTGGAATTTACTACATTTTTCCCCTCTTGTAGATGCAGTGAATTTAGATAAGGAAATAAATCATTTATGACTGTAGTAGTTTTCTGGGACTGCTACAATAAATTAACTGCAAAATGAGTAACTTAAAAGAACAGAAGTATATATTTATATATACATATATATCACATAAATATATATTTATTTACTATATAAATAAAAAGTCATCTAAATAAGGTAATGCCCATGGATTCCAGTACCGTTCGAAACCCAAAGCCCATACTAAATTAAAACAATTAAAATCCATTCATTTTACTGATGTCTCAAAACTTATGTGCTTGTTTCATTGTTATTACAATGCTGTTTAAAAAAAAAAAGTCCTCTACCAGTTTCAAGAGTGGCCTCTACTGAGTTAAGAAAAACTCACGATGTAGTTTTAGACACTTGTACTTTTAAGTAAGAATGATCCTAGATTTGGAGAAAAATCGGAAAAATCATAACTTGATGGCCACGTTCAAAGATAGTGAACACTTATTAAAATGGATGCTCTTAAGTTATAGAATTCTCACCCTACCAGTGTCTCAGATGTTCAGATGGGAAATAGGCTGTGACAGCCCCTACATATGGCTTTTGCATGTGTCCTAAACTTCTGTGTAGCCTGGGAGCTTCAGGAAGTTGGACTTCTACGGTAGCCTCAGGAACACCGATGTTGTAAAACTTTTTAGATGCAGTAGGCCAAAGTTCATCCATATTCCAGGAGAGAGGATATACACTCTTCCACACAATGGAAGAAGTATTGAGGAACCTGGGGCCATTCTAAAAACTGCTGCATCAGATTTGAAAAGTTACCGATTAGAATGGCTTAGGATCACGTGTCTGGCACCAGACCCCAGATAACCCTGAGGAGCTATGCTGAGATTGTAGTTCTCATCCTCGTGTACCCTTTAGCATCACTTCAGGTGATGCCTAACCATTTCATCACTCGAATCCCGTGCCCTCCCCTGTACCTCTTTCCCTTGATCTTGAATTGCTCTTGAGTATCCAGTATTTTAAAATGCTTAGTGCTTGGGTTTCCACGTTATGCTAGCCTCATGCTTCTTCATCAGTTGCTGGTGGGTTCTTTGGACTCTGTGGTTCAGAAGGGGACACAGAGGTCCCACCAAAGACAGGGAGGTAGGTAGATGTGCTACTACTCTCTGAAGCAGATGCAGAGGTCAGTTGGGGGCTGGGTCTTTCTGTTTCGTGGATGAAAGAGCCATGGATGTGATGAAAAACTTTGATGAGTGAGAGTGTGAGAGGGCAAGGAGAACTGTGCGTAGCAGAATTCCTACAGCCTATGCCTGGTCTTCTTGCCACACAGCACACTCTATCCCAGTGGTTCTCACCCTTCCTGATGCTGCGACCCTTTCATACTATCACTCATGTTATTCTCATTGCTATTTCATAACTGTAATTTTGCTACTGCTATGAATCGTAATGTAAATATCTCAACGTTCCTATGGACTAAGGCAACCCCCTGTGAAAGGGCTGTTTGACCCCACCCCCTCCACCAAGGGGTCTTGACCTCACTTTCCAAACCTGCAAATGGTCTTTAACCATTTTTGGATTCTGAGCATCAAGATTTTCAGAGACATTGTATTGATCACATTTTATGGAAAGAATAACTGTAGTGAAAACAGAATTTGTGAGGGTCAACTCTAGAACAAGATGGCCCTGGGTGTCCTGTCAATATATGAGCTTCCTCCAATATTTTTCTTCCCTTTCTCTGCCACGAACAATGGAAATGAATTGCTTTTAACGCGGCATCTGCACTCCAAAGTGAAGTTTCAGGTTTCATGTAACAGAGGGATGTTGGCTTTGCATCCTGGCAATTCTCAAGCCTCACTTAAAGGATCTGTATAATAGCTCTCGCCTTTCCCACACTGCCCTTGTACCAGAGATTAAACCCAGGACCCCCTCCCTGCTGTACATATCCTCCACCACTGAGCTACACCACCAGCCCTTCACCTTTGGACATTTAATACCCATTTTATTGTATTTTGTGTGTGTGGGTGTTTTGCTTGCATGTATGTTTATGTACCACTTGTGTGCCAGGTGCCTTGCAAAGTCCAGAAGAGGCATTGGACTTGTTGGAACTAGAGTTGCAGACAGTTATGAGCCGCCATATGGGTGCTGAGAGTAAAACCTAGGTCCTCTGGACAAGAAGACAGTGCTGCTGTTAATCACTGAGTCATCTCTTCAGGCCCAACATTTTAATTTCCAGACAGGGTCTTGCTACATTGCCCAAGTTGGACACCAACTCATTCTATAGTCCTGGCAGCCTTGAGATTGGGCCTTCCTGTCTTACCCTCTGTGGTAGCTGAGTTACAGACCTTCATCACCAGACTTGGTTAACAGTTGTTCTTAAACTGAAAATTGCTGTTTAAAATAACCTTTGAGCAGGGCATGGTGGCTCATGTCTTTAATCCTAACACCTGGGAGGCAGATACAAGCCTGATCTACATAGGAAGTTCCAGGTCAGCTGGGACTACATAGAGAGCATCTGTCTTTGAAAATTAAAGACCTTTGTTAGAAGCCATTCATGGATCTCTAACTAGAAGCAGGTCAGGGAAGGCAAACGTTTGTTTTTGACTGATTGTGAGCAATAGAAGGAGCATGAGTCCCTGACTGGCTCATGACAATACAAAGAAAATAATAGCAAAACCATCCTAATGATTTCTAGATATCCAGCTATTCCAGGGGAGGTGCCCCAATTGTGAGTGCACGTCCTATAGGCAATAGAGGAATTCATTTGTTGTCATCCATAGACTGTAGCATGAATAATAAAAACTGAGAGATACTGGAGTTCAAGCTGAAGAAAGCAAAGCAGCCAACCAGTAGAGAGTTCTTACCTCTACCAAGGTTGGGGTGATCCTGTCCTCAGTGTGACTGCAGACTGAATACAGACTGAGACCCTGTCTTATAGTCAGGGTCCTCTCTAGTGCTGGAGTTAAAGGCATGCACCACCACCCACCAGCTTCTTTGACTAATTAGTGTGGAATTAAAAGTGTGTGTTATCACTGCCTGGCCTCTATGACTGACCAGTGTGGCTAGCTTTGCACTCTGATCTTCAGCTAAGCTTTATTTGTTATATCATAAAACAAAATATCAGAACAATGGATTCCTGTGATCATTAGCACAATGGAGCAAGGCCA